CTCTAAAAATTTTGCTTTACCGATATGACCTAATCGCTTATGCCACAAATCATAATTATTTCTATTGATATTATTTGCCTGAGAGTTACTGATATTTATTCTTTTTGGTAATTCAAATTCAATAGCCGTCAAATTATACATGGGCTTACCTTGCATTAGAACTTTACCATCTTTACTTATCTGTACTCCATTTGCGTTGAAGATGATAGTCATTCCTGCCTTCTGCATTTTCGTCACCGATAATAAATTGCATGGCACATCTGGACAGTACAGGACGTCCTTGAGTACAATTGGAAAACCTCTATCGCTCGTCAAGTTGATTGTTCCTTTCTTTGCTGCGGTATTAAACACTCCATTCTTCGCGATCGAAATTTTTATTGGTGGGTTTAAGTTAATTACACTTGTCAATATATCGTCTTGATTAATTAGATGATCAGATGCTCCAGAGTCCAGAAGAAACACTAACTTATTACTCTCACAGTTTTGATATTCTCCAGTCATAAAGGCGTAACTTGATCTGCTGGCGTTATCCTGCGTTTGTACTGTTTGAGCTGTGTGGCACCTTTTGTTCTTCTCAGCTTCGTATTTTTGATTTCTCTTGAAATAGTAACAGTCGATCTTTTTATGACCGTATCGTCCACAATGATGACATTTTCCACTAGGTGAATTTTTGTAATTTCTGTAGGGATGAAAACCAGTACGAAAATGTGAGCCCGAATGTGAACCTCTGCCTCTTCGATTTCCACCTCTGCGATTTCCACCTCTGCCTCGATAACTTCTTGAATAATTTCTATTATTTTCACGAGGAATTTCAGTTTCAATGTGCAAGACTTTCGCACTCGTATCTTCACTTGCATTCTGTACTTTCGTCTCATGATCTAAAAGTCTTGTTTTCACAAAATCCAAAGTAATTTCATCTTCGGTCATTGTCTCTATTACTGTTGACACAGTTTCATATATTTTGGGAAGACTGGCGAGTAAATACGAAATCTTCTGAATTTCTGTTACTGAGACACCAACCGCTGCGAGCTCAGCTATCAACTCATCAAAATTTTCAAAATGTTCTTTTAATTTTGCATCACTTTTCATTTTCAATCTGCTCAACCGATTACGAATTGACACTTCACTGGCGGCACTTTTTCTCTCATAAATATTATCTAAACTTTTCAAAATTGTCTTAGCTGTAGCATCGGGTGTATCATACTTAAGGTAAGTATCAGATAAATACTCCACTACAACACATTTGGCCATTCGTTCAGCTCTTCGCCATTTACTGGTCACTGGAACAGGGGGTTCGCCGTCAATCACTTTTAGCAAATTTAGTTCGTTCAATAAATTTCTGATTCGATGTTTCCACGCATTGTACTTAATACCGCTGAACAGTGGTATATTTCTCCTGTCTTTAGATTTATCCATTGTCACTTAGATTTAACACCTTAACAACGTAACAACACGAAAATTTATTTCTTTAAATAATTAAATTATTAACAAAATACACAGTTAATGCACAATGTGATCTGGGCCCATAGCCTATTGGAAATGGGGTAGATAAATAAAATATAAACGCAGTGAATTAACTTTAATTCTGTACTTTATTATTTTTCACTTAAGAGCAAGGACCGTCTTTACTCTCCAGATTGCTCCAGGAGACTAACCGACCGATTACGAAGCCTAAATCAAACCGTCACCCAACGACAAGGGATATCGGTTCTGCGTACCATCAAACATTGTTTATGTTTGACATCCGGTCCAGGTCCTCTGGATCATTTTTGATAACATTGATTATTTAAAGTTAAATAATCCAACATTTGGCATAATAATTTTCGTTAACTTTGTATTTTTTATTAATAAAATAAGTGCGATGGAGGTCGGCGAGTTTACATCACGTAAAAAAAGTACCAGCTGGGATTATTGTGCAGTGGAAAATTGTGGGAGCAGAGCAAATAAAAATTCACATCATAGTTATCATCGCTTCGCTGGAAAAATGCTTTAAAAATCAGCAACATTATTAAAAGAACAAGAGTGTGCTCATTGCATTTTAAAAAATCTGATTATTTATTCGCAGGTAAAGTTTCTTTTTACAGAAAAGTAAGATTGTTGTCGAGTTAATATTTAAGCTACAGGATGTAAGTTTCAAATAGATGATAAAGAGGCGATCGCTGCACTGTTTAGATTAGGGGCCATGTCCGAAGCACACACTTGAGGAGCTGCGACGCTGTTTTAAGAGTCCTTTGTGAACGATGATTTTTGGAGGCAGTCGTCCACGAGCATCGAAGTAAAAAGCAGTGCTCCACATATTGTTCGCATTTCATGTTCGAAATAAATATTGTGTTTGTTTAAACCACGTTCTTGATTAATAATTCAAGTTAACCCAGAAATACTGCTGGACATTTAAAATAGTTGGACATTTAAAATATTGGCGACCAAATATTGCCAAATATTGGCAATAGTTAAAATTAGTTGGACATTTAAAATATTGGCGACCGTGACAGGACATTTGGGTGTCAGTAACGGGTTAACAGTTTTAAGTGAAGAGTGCTTGTGAATCAAGAACGATGGAGCAGTTAAAGAGGAGTAGGACAAGTTTACGTATAGCGTTTACAAAAGTGTTGAACACTTTGAATGCTCTGTTGGACAGTATTACAGCAGGAACTGCGGAGTTAACGGTGGCTTACACTTTGGTGGCTGATAAGCATAAAGATTTGGAAACTATTGCGGAGAAAATTATAGGCGAACTGTTTAAGGGCGAGGTAACAGAAGACACAATTCAAAAGGAGTATGATGAACACGACGCATATAAAAGTAAGTTCTTACTGGCAAAGCATAAATTTGACAGTCGCATTGCTACCAGAAATAATAGAACTCAAAGTGCAATTCAGGCGGATGCAAGCACTAGTACGAGTGCGACTTCATCAGAAGTGAGAAAGACATTTAATTTGCCGAAAATCGAATTAGTTAAGTTCAGTGGTAATGTACGCGAGTGGCTTCAGTTTTGGAGTTTATTTAAAAAGATACATGAGAACACTAATATGGAGAGAGAGGATAAATTCCAATATCTGATTCAAGCAATGGTGCCCGATTCACGCGCTGCTGAGCTAGTAAAGAGTTATCCGCCGACGGGAGAAAACTATGAAAAGGTAATCGAGGGCTTAAAGAAGAGATTCGGTCGCGATGATCTCCAAATCGAAGTGTACGTGCGAGAGCTTTTGCAATTAGTACTTCAAAATGCCATGTCGAAGAAAGAAGTACAGCTTTCGAGTTTATATGATAAAATAGAGTCATATTTGAGAGCATTAGAAACACTCGGTGTAGCGACTGATAAGTGTGCGGCAATGCTTTTCCCGTTGGTGGAATCATCATTGCCAGAAGAATTGCTTAGAGTATGGCAACGATCGAATAGCACCAATGATTTTAATGAGTCCGTGAGTTCCTCAGATGCTTCAAGAACACGGTTAACAAAGTTGATTAACACTAGAAAGACTGAAATTTAGTATATACCTATATTG